GCCCCCGCCGGTACTGGGAATTGAACTCATGACCTCGCACTTGCCAGGCAGGCGCTGTGCCGCTGAGCTAAATCCCCAGCCCCTGTTTTTGTTTCTCTGTGGTGCTGGGGATCAAACCCCAGAAGATGCTAGGCAAGTGCTTTACCACTGAGCTGCCCCCTAGCCCTCAGCATTATTTTTTTAAGTAAGGAAGAAGAGAAGACTGGATATCAGAAAGTCATCTTTGTAGCGTCTACATGGGTTTATCCTGGACCCAAAAAACAGAACACCTGTGAATAACGATTTTGTCACAGGTAACCTCTCAACCACACTGTAAGAAGAGAAATGGCCATGTGCATATGTGTGTGTGTGTGTGTGTGTGTGTGTGTGATGAGCCAAATTAAAATGATCTTAACCTACCCTGAGTGAGAGGCCCAATGGCTAAGAGGCCAAGAACATCTCTTGTGCTGGCTTCCCAGAACCCATTTCACCTCCAATCCCCATGCCACGGTCTCCACCCGGCTCTGCCAGTGCTGAGGACCGAAGCCAGGGCCTTGCAAGGTTACACACGTGTGCAGCCACGAAGCTACCCAGCCCCAGGCTCGGCCTTCATCTTTTTCAAGAATACATTTATTTCCACTACTACTGCCAGCAGCACCACCCATTCAAATGGGGGACCCTTGGAGGTTTCATTCCTATATTCTACCCCTGACCAACTGACCCAAACTGCTAAATCAGAGTCCCATTCCCAGAGTTGGGAATAAACAGTGGATTGTGTCCACCAGGAGCCACTGGAAGACACATTCTCTGTCATGATCTGGAGAAGTTGAGGAAGAGCTCGGACCCCAACAGAGGAAGAAGTGTAGCGAGCTAGAGGGGCTTCATGGTGCTTGAGTCCTGGGCTGAGTGATTCCTGTGGCTTGTTCCATCCTTGTCCTTATCATGTTAACAAAAGACCTGGCCGGCCGGAGGTGGTGGCGCACACCTGTAATCCCAGCACTTGGGAGGCTGAGGCAGGAGGATTGGTGCAAGTTTGAGACCAGCCTCAAAGTGAGCTCAAGGCCAGCCTGATCTGCATAGGGAGACCCTGTCTCAAAAAGACAAAAAGAAAAAAAGGACCCAAGCTAAGAGAGAGCACCTGCTCTCTGGCTGTTTCCATGGAGCTCTAGAAAGCCATCTATGTGCCCTACACATATGATTCCACTGCTAAGGGAATGAATGGGTGGTTTGAAAATCAATCAGGCCTGGGGATGTAGCTCAGTGCACAAGGCCCTGGTTTGATCCCCAGCACTACAAAAACAAATAGAATAAAATAGAACCCACAGGTCAAGGGTCTAGAGATTTGGTTTTATTCCCAACCATGTCAAAGGAGATAAATCACTTTGTGTCTCTGTCCCTGGCTCCCACTACCTGTGAAACCTGTGGAGGACTATGCGTTTTCCTGAGGTGTTCACTGGCTTGAGAAGTAGTGTGGCAGAGAGGAAAAAATACCGGCTTTTGAGTCTGGAACTACAGCCTCATCACTGGTCTTTCAGTGTTTTGGTTTTTGGTCCTGAGGGCACAGGGTGCTGTGCTATTGAGTTATGTCCCAGCCTTTTGTTTTTATTTTTATTTTATTTTTATTTTTATTTCTTTGTCTTTTGAGACAGGGTCTTGCTATGCAATTCAGGCTGGCCTTGAGCTCACTTTGTAGCCCAGGCTGGCCTCGAACTCACAACAATCCTCCTGCCTCAGCCTCCCAAGTGCTGGGATTACAGGAGTGTGATCACTGCACCTGGCTCTTATTTTTTATTTTGAAAGAGTTCCACTAAATTATCCAGGCTGACCTCACACTGTAAGCCTCCTGCCTCCTGCCTGGAAGTCCCTCCAAAGAAGCCACCAGCAGCACGACAACCGCCTCACTGTGTGTGCACCAGGTACACCTGAGTGTGGCCCCACGCATGCGTTGGGGTTTGAATCACCGAGTAGCTGAGATTACAGGCGAGCACCACCGCACGTGGCTCTATCCCTGTGTCAATATTAATTTCCCTAACTTTCCTCTGGAGATCTCCCACCTGGGAGGATTTCAGGAGCTCGTATGTGCAACCCCTGGCAAACGCTTCCCACGCAGCAGAGCCCCCAGCCCTGGAACCTGTTGGAGCCTGGCAGAGGCAGGAAGTCCCGCCAAAAAGCCACCAGCGCCAAGACAACCACCAGGTGAACCTCGGTGCCCCTGGGCTCAGAGCTTGAGGCTTTGAGCTTGTTTGTTAGCAGAAGCTACTTTTTATTTCCTCTAAGATTTCACACTACAGGGAATTAAGTCTTTTACTTTTTGGCTGGTTGGTTTGTTTTTCTTTGTTCTGTGGTACCCAGGACACGGCCCAGAGCCTGGCTCACGGTAGGCAAGCGCTCCACCCTGAGCTACACACCCAGCCCACAGCCAGTCCATCATCTGACCCGGTGAAAGCCTTCGAGGCACACCCATGGGAATTCTGCGCATTATTTCATTATTTCCTGCTTTAACACCTCTTGGCTGAAGAGTAGAGGGGCGGAGGCGGGTATGACATTGACACAGCCCACCTTGACACCTGTGAAATCTGCTGATGGCTCAGAGTTAACTGGCTGGGGGCTGCCAGCCTAGACACCAGCAGCCTTGGCACAGCCCTCCCCTACAGCCCAGGGCCTGGCCCACAGCACTCTGGGGCAGATAGATATCTTTGTATTTCACAGCCAGTTCTTTCCCAGCGTGTCAGTAACTGCTGCTGGTCTCCAAAACTCCCGAACCCCTACTGGAAAAACGAGGAAAAGACAGAAGGGGAAAAATGAAGAAGGGAGTAATTGTAGGAAGAAACAAAGGAAAGAGACACAGGCAAGCGACTCCGCAATGATACTCATTCCTTTATTGTCGACTGTGTTCATTTGAACTTGGCTGGGGCCTGAGGCTGCCAGCAACACCAAGCCGCGGTGCTCAACACAGAGGCCTCCATCCTAGCCGAGGGGACAGAAGGTAATGTTCTATATATATATTCATATATTACATATGTCCCATATAGTCATATGTATAGAGTGACGAGAATGGGCCACTGCATTAACTGTTGTCCTAAATAAAGACCATAGCAACAAACATGGGAGTTTGGTCCTAAACAAGGCCCTCACTTTGTCAGTCAAATGTGTGATACATCAAAGGAAAAGGAGAGAGAAGAGAGAACAAGAGACTGAGATCCAACCACCCTCTGGGGCCCTGTTCCAGCACATCTTTCGTTGAGTGTAGTGTCCCCTGTATAGGTAGCCACACGCACGCACGTACGCACGCTCACACACATGCACACGGACACAAAACTGCAGGCAGGGGCTCCTTCTCCGAACACACCTCAGGTCCAGCCCTCGGACTGGGGGTGGTGAAGTTGGGCAATATTGTGCTCTAAGACTGTGAGGGACAAGTGACCAGACAATGCAGAGTTGATGTGTCCGGGGGGAGCGGGGGAACGGGCTGGCTCGTGCTGCTTCATCCACAAACGAGAAAGAGATCAGCGGGAGAGGCTGCTCAATGCAGCCCCAGAGGTCCCTCCGTGGCCAGGCCACCTGGGGGACTGCCACATACAGCTGCTGTCCCAACCACAGCCAAACCTCTGATCTGAATCCTGAGTCTCAATGGACTTCTCAGGCTCTGATGAAAACTGTGATTCCCTTGAAAGACAGGAGCAAATGGTGACTGAGAGGCTCAACCGTTACCTAGTCCAGAAACAACAGCAGAAAAGACAGCATCACTGAGTTAAATCAAACAAAATGTGCTCCTCAGAGAAGAACTTGAATGGTGCAAGGAAGATTTACTTCCCGAAGGGAAGAGAAGAGCCCCCATGTCTGCCTGCCATGCACCAAACCTCAAACAGATCTGTCAGCTTTACCCGAGTGATGGAACTGCTTTCAGTCTAGGGACGGGAGATTCCCACTGAGGGTGCCTGAGATCCTAACGCGCAATTACCTCTACACCCCTCTGCCAAAATACACACTGCAAAGGTAATCAAGCCATTTGATCTGCTGATCCTTAGTATTAGAGAACTTCCTAATTTTTCAACCACCATAAAATGAAATAGTAAACTATTAAACGTTTAAATTACAGTGCCTTCTGTAAGAAATCTGTGTATTTGTCAACATTTCTTGAGTAGATCTAAGGTCTCTACTTGAAAGACAGAGAAAGTATCGGGGATATATTTCGAGAAGCATACTAAAAGAGTATTATGGAAGGAATCTAGTGTCTCTGTGGAATGGAACTTGTTGTAGTTGTTTGTTTTGTTTATTTTTGTTTGAGACAGGATCTTACTATGGAGCTCAAGCTGGCATCGAATTCTCTGTAGCCCAGGTTGGCCTCAAACTTCCAATTCTCCTAGATCAGCCCCCCCACGGCCGTGCTGCGATTATAGGTGTGTGCCACCATGCCTCCCTGAACTTCATTTTAACTCAGATTTAACTTCTACAGTAAGGTAATCTTAGGCAATTCTGTGAGGATGCACATGTGCAAAGGCATTTTAAAAACTAAAGGATGAAAATTTTGTCCTGCTAGTAAAAAATAAAGTCAATTTTTTTTTTTCTTGGAAGCAGTTTACTTATCACCTGCAATATCTGGAGACATTTTGGGCTGTCACAAAGGAAGGTAAGATGGGGCCAATTTCATCAGTGGTAAAGAATGGGTCAGTTTTCAACAAAATAGTGTGCCAAAAATATGACTGGGAAATGGGGGCAACAGACACAGCTGGCAAAGATTTTGCCTGAGTCTCTGTTTCCTGTGCCGAAGGCAGAGGGAAGCTGTGATACCTTTGCTTAGGCAGCGGTAGAATGACACTGATCCCTTCTGCGACGACCTGAGATCCGGCAGCTGCAGAGGAAAATGGCCACAGCAGGAAGAAGACACATTTCAAAAGTGGGGAGTTGGTCTGACGACTTGTTGACCAAAGGAAGCTCAAAGTGGGGACAGAAATAAAGAGACCCAGAGGAGGGACTTCGCTTGATGACAGTCCACATCATCTGGGTCCATTTCCTGCAGGTCCCGACATGGCATCAACCACTTGGTTCACGATTCCTATTCCAGGCTGGGAAGGTGGGTGGGAAGCCGAACTGGGGAAGCCAGTGTTGGTGAGGTCACCGAAGTCCTTGCAAAAGAGCCTGAGAGGCTGGAAGAGGTGGTCTGAGCCCCAGGAAGGGGAGAACAGAGCCCTATCCACCGGGAGTGCAGGCTCAGCACTGTCAGGTCTCTTGTCCTCAGCAGACCCCTGGCAGTCTTCATCCCAGAAAGTGCTTAGGGGCTGCTCGTCACAGGGTCAGAGATGGAGAAGACGCAGCGGGTGGTGAACGCTGTGCTGCCTCAGGCACTGGCGCCTCCCTCTGAGGGCGGCTGACACGGGAGGCGCTGGAGGTCTGACTGGGGGTTTCCAGTCCCGAGAGAAGGAGGGTACAGCAGGGACCACAGCGGCCCGGAAGGCTTCCCCGGCAATGACTGGCTCCACGAATAAATAACATGGATTAAATAAAGGAGGTGCAGAAGAGTGGGCACCCCATCCTACACACGCACGCACACGCGCACATGCACACGCTCAAACGCACACCACCAAGCTGCGGATGAGATGAGCCAGGGCTGGCTGCCCCGTGTCGGAGTGTGTCGCTGGGCAGCCTGACTGTGAAGGCTGTCACTCATGGTCCACCACCGTCGGAGGGTGCAGAGGGGCGGAGGCCACGGAGGCATGTGCGGCGGAGGGCGGAGGCCACTGGGGACTCGGGCACCTGCAGGGTTGGGGACAGTGGGCGGAAGGGGAGGGGAGGGAGATGCAGGTCACAGAAGAGTCAGGTCTTTACTTCCCCTTCCACAGCCCTCTGGGTGCCACCAAGACCCTCGTCAGCCTCAACCAGCCCGTGTGATCCCCCTCCTAAGTCCACTGCTCCCTCTGAGCACAGCGGTACTGACCAGGATCTGGACTTTCGGACTTTAGACGTGGACGGTCTTTCCAGAAAGCTGTCCAACCGCATGAGCCTCTCCATGTGTAGTGCACGAGGGTCTTGCTCTTGGTCATGAGAAAATTCCATCTCAAAGATTGCTGGAGGGGACACGTCCAGCTCCAGAAACATGACATTTTCAGCCTGTGATGCAATCACATGTCAGATGTGAGTAGCGGCCTCAGCGACAGTATCTCCTAGGCACTCGGTCAATCTTGAATGTTGGCGGGGGCGGGGTGCAGGGGACTTAGAGGAAGCAGAGGTTTAAGCACCCTCTCCCTTGGGGTTCTCTCCCCTCCCACTGTGATTTCCCAGCTTCTTACCCTGTATCTGGGGTGGGACCCCATTGCTATGGCAACCCGAGCATACTGGCTGATAGGCCTCTTGTAGCCCACTGCGGATGTTGGCCGCTTCTTCATTTGGCTGTTACTCCTGTAGGGAGGAGGGGGTATTAGAAGGGCTTCCCTCCTGTCACAAAGGACAGGAACCAAGTATCACACAGGCAGCCAGGAGGCCCTGCAGATGGCAGGCTCTGGAACTTTCTTCTCCTTGCTCTAATGCAACCTGACAACTGGAAGTGGTATAATACGAGAAAGTACAGTAAGTGTCTTCACTCTTGTTCCAATTGTTTTTCCACAGTAAAAAGGATTGATTAAAAGGCTGAAGCCTTTAATCAAGGCCAGGAGTTCAAGGCCAGTGTGGTCAACATAGTGAGGCTGTATCTCAGAGAAGGAGGGAGAGAGAGAGAGAATTTTCTTTTTGAGACAGCGCCTCGCTCTGTAGTTAAGGCTGGCCTTGAACCAAGCTGGTCTCAGCCTCCCAAGTGCTAGGGTCATAGAGAGATTCTTGTAGCCCATGTAACACCACTGTCTTACAGCTGGCAGGGGTCTTGGGAAACCAACAAACAAGAACTAAGGCTTGAGATGAGAAGGAACAAAGTTGGAGGTCTCATACTCCCAGTTTCAAAGCTTAGTACAAAGCTATGGTGATCCAGACACTGGAGCGTGCATAGGTACGGTGTACAGCTGAGTGGGTAGAAGCAGTTGATACAATTATGCTCAACTGATTTTCTATAAGGAGGTCAGGACACCTCAATGAGGACAGAACAGGCATTTCAACAAGTGGTGCTGGGGCAACTGGATGTCCATGTGCAAAAATAATGAAGTTGGATTCTTGCACCATATATAAAAATTAACTCATAATGGATCACAGACCTAAATATACAAGCTAAAACCATACCACTTGGGTTTTTCTCATTTCTTTTTCTTTTTTTGAGATGGGGTCTTGGGCCAGGGATATAGCTCAGCGGCACAAGCACCTGTCTGGCAAGTGCAAGATCCTGAGTTCGATTCCCGGTACCAAAAAAAAAAAAAAACCAAAAGATGGGGTCTCACTGAGTTGCCTGTGCTGGCTTTGAACTTGTGATCCTTCCAATCAGCCTTGTAAATAGCTGGGATTACAAGGACATGCACTATATTGGGTTTACAACTCTCAATAAAACACAAGTATGTGCTGTCTAGGACCTTGGGGTGGAAAGGGCAGGTTGTTCCCATTTCTCAAATAAAACTGTGTAATTTGCCATAAAATTATTTTTTTTTGAGACAGGGTCTCACTATGTAGTCCAGGATGGCCTCAGACTCATGGTGAGCCTCCTGCCTCAGCTGCCCGAATGCTGGGATTACAGGTGTGCACCACCATGCCCAGCAAGATTAATTGTTATAACTTTAGATCAGGCAATGTTTTCTTAGCTATGATAACAAAAACTCAAGCAACCAAAGAAAAAAGTCAGTGGGACTTCAAAACTAAAAGTGTTTGTGCTTCAGAGGACATCATAAAGCAAGGACAACCCTCAGAATGAGAGAAAATATGTGCAAAGAATATATCTGACAAGAGACTTGTATTCAGAATATACAAAGAAAAAAAAATATATATTTTTTTGTCTTTTTGAGACAGGGTCTCGCTATGCAGTTCAGGCTGGCCTTGCGCTCACTTTGTAGCCCAGGCTGGTCTCGAACTTGCAACGATCCTCCTGCCTCAGCTTCCCGAATGCTGGGATTACAGGCATGCGCCACCATGCCTGGCTTACAAAGAATATTCAAAAATCAATAATAAGCCAAATGCAGTGGCATACATCTGAATGCCAGGTACTTGTGAGCTTGAGGCAGGAGGATGACAAGTTAGATGACAGCCTGAGCATCTTATCAAAACTCTCTCAAAAAAAAACGACTGGGGATGTAGCTCAGTGGTGAAGTATCTGCTTACCATGTTTGAGACTCTGGGTTCAAGCTATGGTGCTGCTGCTGCTGCTACCACCACCACCACCACCACCACCACTACTATTACTACTACTACTAAAAAGATAATCCAATTTAAAAATGGGCAAAAGATCTCGGAGGCTGAAGCAGGAGGACTGCAAATTTGAGCCTATCCTGGGCAATTTAACAAGAACCTGTCTCAAAAAAAAGACAAGAGCCAAGTGTGGTGGTGCACATCTGTTATCCCAGCACTCAGGAGGCTGAGGCAGGAGGGTTGCCACAAGTTTGAGGCCAGCCTGGTGAATTGAGGGGCAGCCTGAACTATAGAGCAAGACCCTGTCTCAAAAAACCAAAGGAACAAAAAAACAAAAAACAAATAAACAAAAAAGACTGGGGATGTAACTCTGCGGTAAAGAACCTCTGGGTTAAATACGCAGTGCTGCAAAAACAGGTAGATATATAGATAAGTAGACAGACACAGAGAGACAGAAATGGATGATGAGCACATGAAAAGATGCTCAACATCATTAGTTACTAGGGAGATCAGGGCTGGGGGATGTAGCTCACTGTTAGAGTGGTTGTCTACCATGCAGAAGGGTCTAGGTTTGATCTCCAGCCCCAAAGAACAACAACAAAAAAACCCTCAGAAAATACCGCAATGAGATATCCCTTCACTACAATGACAGTGACTTTAAAAGCCAGGCAATAATGCATGTTGGGGAGGGTGAGATAAAACTGGAAGCCTCATATATTGTTGGTGGGAATGGAAAATGGTACAGTTGCTTTGGAAAAGCTTGGCAATTTTACAGAAAGTTAAACTGGCACTTCTACTATTAAGCATACACTCAAGAGAATTGAAAGCCAGGTAAGTGGCGCATGCCTGTAATCCTGGCACTCAGGAGGCTGAAGCAGGAGGATCACCAAGAGTTCAAGGCCAGCCTGGGCATAATAGTGGGTTCAAGATCAGCCTGAATTACATCGTAAGACTCTGTCTCAAAAAAAAAAAAAGACAGAGGATGAGAGGGAATTGAAAACACATGTACATAAAAGATTTATAACAGACCCAAAGTGGACATTCTCCACATGCCCGTGGACCGGTGAATAAAGAAAATGTGGCCAATCGTAGAGTGCAATCTCGCTTGAGCCGATGCCGGCTGTAAAGCGGATGAAACTTGAAAACACTTTGCAAGTGAAAGGCGCCAGATCACTTCTTGTATGACTTCATCATATGAAATTCCTGGCAAAGGCAAAGCCATGGGGACAGAAAGCAGCTGGTCGCTGACTGGCACTGGGAAGGCTGCAGAGAACCGGGGTGATGGCTAACGGGCTCGAGGTGTCTTTTTGGAGCGATGAAAAGGTTTTGGAATGAGATGGTGGTGATGCTTAGACAACTCTGTGAATATACTAAAATCTACTCCACTGTACACTTTAAAATGGTGGTTTGTATATGTGAACTACATCTTGACAAAGCTGTTATTTAAAAAGCAAACAAAACAAAACTCAGGCTTGGCTTTTTAAAAAACAC